TATAACCGATTGTATTTTCATATAGACGTTTACCCTAATTAGCCAATAAAAATTCAAGGATCGACAACCAATCAGATGGATTTTTAATCATGCTTACATGAGTAGATTTGGGCAAAGTTCACATTCCCAGTTTGCCACCGCCAAATTGGGTCTGTACATGACAAACTGTCACTTAAGTAGATCTGACGCGTACTCCCACCTAATAAAATGCTTTGATCATTTGAATGTTGAGTGATGTACCGTAAAATTCGGACGCGTGTCAAAAGTACTATTTATATATGCGTGTGATGTAAACAATTGTAGAATTGTGTAATTCACGTGATTTTAATTTTTCACTATGTACTCGCGTCCGAATTTCACGGTATATTTTTTAGGTAGTTTAACGTCACGTTCTATATATTTCGGAAAAGATGCATTCAAAGCTGGTTTCTGGAGTTTAAAACACTATGTCGACTGGATTATAAAGAATGGAAGTGAATTACCGTTATGGAAAACGTGTTTGGCTGACTTTTACGGCTCGTCGAAACTTATAGTTAGCCTTAGATCGTTACCACGACTCGATCGTGTTGTTGCTGAAAAAATCCTAAAAGCTAAAGAGGTGAATGTAATAACTAGATACTGATCCATTACTTCGTTTGCGCTACTTATAGTATCTTTCATAAATCAGCTTCCCAAAACCAAGAAACTTATTGAAGACCTTCGAATACCATACGAACGGGCATACGACGGAAAATATGGAAAATCTATTTATAAGTCTGGTTGATGCTGAGGCATTGATTATAATTAATATCTGAATAGTAAACTTATATGCATAGCTTATCTACAATAGACTCTAGTGCATGTGCAACAGGAAGAGAATATATTTGTTTCAGCGAGCAAAAAAATGCGAACGAAAAAGGAGAAGGTATTTTCTTGATTTGAGAAAACATCTATTTATAAATACAGAAATATTAACTCAGTACTTTTATTTATCATCTAAATACAGGTTTAGGTGAAGAGTGTGTCTCGAAAAATGAGAACTGCCTTCTTATTTCGGTGAGTTAAGTTAGTTTGTTTTTATTTTGTCAGATATAAGGTATATAAGGTTTGATTAATCTGATCCATAACGCTATATTCGTGCTATAGGAGGAATCGGAATTCTTTCCAAATGATTATAACAAAGAAAATGTTGACGATGAGGATGAATTCGATGTCATGGACAAAAATCTTTACACGAAAAGGTAATATCTTTTTTGCGCATTCTTGCTCCATTAGATCGACTAACTGATCAAACTTAGATTTAACATGATGGAAAATTCGAGGAAATGGAAGCTAGAGTCAGGAAGGTTTGTTGAAGATGTACTCTATGAGCTTGGAATGAAATGCCGATACTACAAGTAAGCGTTGTGTTACCTTTTTTTTAAAAAAATTTCAAGAAGAGGATCATTGACTTTGCCTTTTAGTCTTGTTCACTCTTTCATACTCGATCCTACGGATGAGTTTATTAAAAACGTATTCAAAGAAGAGGAGTTATCTGAAATAATTAAAAAGGGGAACGGGAATGATCCACTGGAAATTGATGATGAGATCCTCGAGTACATAAACACATTC